CTGCCAAGCAGGTGTATGGTGAGCACACCATAGACTCTAGCTGGGAAACCCACCCAGACACAAGAGAGGAGTTGGACTACAGTGAACACCTGAGTAACAGTGACAGGACCCAAGGTAATGGCCTGAAGTTGTGCAGGGAATGTTCTGGTTAGATACCGGAAGAAAGGTCTTCACCCAGTCACCCAGAGAGCTGCTGGGCTCTGGAATAGGCTCTGCAGGGCACTGTCACAGAACCAAGCCTGACAGCTCAAGAAACATTTGGACAATGCTCTCAGGCACATGGTATGATTCTTGAGGATGTCCAGCTCCTGGCTCCACACAGGACTCAATGATCCTCGTGGGTCCCTTCCAACTCCGAATATTCTGTGATTCTGTGAACTCAACCACTAGTGTAGGAGTATTGAGGAGAAGGGGCTGGGCAGAGGATCCCCTCCCTGAGCTGGTAGGGCCATGGCTGCATGGAGTGGGTGACACAAGACTTCCCTCACAGTACACAAGCCCAAAGGCAGGGAGAAGGGGACTCTGAGGACATGAGTCAAGCCCCACTGGAGACAGTCCACCCACCTGCGGTGCAGTTTCTCCTTGGAACCAAAGTGAACACAGGGCATGTCCCAAGCCAGGGCCAGCTCCAGTGTCCCGTGTCCCTGGGCAGGCACCCTGCAGCTGGCACACACTGCTGCTGCCGTTACCTCTCCCTTCTCTGTCAGGGTGCTTTTACCTGCCAGGAATAATAAACATATACATAAGCAACCAAGGAATACCTACGCAGGTAACTGAAGCTCCCACACACCCCAGAGGGGATCAGACTATTCAGACATACCACAGCCCCCTTGCAAGCTGGAAGGTACAGCCTCAGGGCTTTAAGTGATGACTGTTGCCACAGGAAAAAATAGCTTCCATGGGTGGAGTAGTTAAAAGAAGTCAGTCAAAGCCGAAGAACAAACCAGGCAGGAAAAGCCACCAGGCATGAGTAGAAGGCACAGAGCATCCCATGACTTTGTACCTGCACTGCACTCAAAGACACTGTGACTTTCTAGTGACAGTCATTGTTTCCAGCTTTCTGCAAGGGTGCTTGAGCCATGCTGGTATTTAAGAAAAGCCCTGAGGCAGCTGGGTAATTATATGCTGGTGCTGACATGTGTACCAGGTAAACTCATTAAGAGCAACAATTTTAACATAAGCACAGATCCTGACTACGATAATGTCTGGCATGCATGAAGGAAAACCACATCCCAATAGCCTGGAGAGCTCTGAGTGCATCTAGGCAGGAAGCTTATTTTTCTGGAAATATTTACATAAACAGTTCATTTATATAATTTAAGCTTCAAGAAACCTTGCAAAGACCCAGTGTCAGTATCACTAGTTTGTCAGCAACACCCTTGTTCAAAAGCTGACAGAGACATTAGGCAAATGGTCACCTTCTACGACAATAGTAGGTTAGCAGCAAGGGCTGGGAGACACCACCCTGCTTCAAGACTCCTGTCAAGGGAGCTAGCAGACAGCAGAGGATGATGCAGAATTATCAAGGCAATACTAGAAACTTCAGGAAACTGGTACAGTAACAAGAGGACAGCAAGTTATGACAGCCCAAACCCCAAGGACTGCTAAATGCCTGCTGGTACAAATCTGACAGGATCCAGCTCCTTGATCTGGCAACAGGAACAGAGGGAAGATGGCTGGGCAGGACCCTGGCTACTCAGCACAAATCTCAGCTCAGCATGCAATCCCACACAGACTAACAAGGTACTGGCGTGTGTAACTAATATGGCCAAGAACAGCCTTTGGAGAACAGCTTTTGGAGAACAAGGAAGTTTGCAAACAGCCTAAAGCTGGCAATGAGCCACAACATTCTGGAGAGTTTTTTGCAATGGCACCAAGGTGGCTGGAGGAAGGAACTCATAACGAGCATGGACACCCTTTCCCCCTGCCCTCCCTCCACCAATCCCATAAAGGATGGAGGGACTTACCAGTGGGAGAATCCAGCCTTCCATCCTGTAGAAGGTCCTGCCACACTTCTCTACCTGATCCCATGGGATTGAATGCTGTGAGGTGGGTGACTGCAGTGCCAGCCTGGGGGAGGGAAGAGAACATCAGGGGCTGATGCTTTTGAGAGGCAGATGCAGACTCTCTGCCCCCCAACAACAATGCTGGTACATCACACTCACTACCCCCTTGCTGCCCAGTGAGTCTAACTCCAATCTCACTCACCCACCACCCTGCAAGCTTCACCTACATCTTGTCTCCTGCCACTCACTCTCAAAGAGGGTGCCCTCAGGGAAGTCATGTCCTCACTCCTGAGGTCAGGCAAGCACTGAGAGCCGGTGCCAAAGCCAATCCATTCCACACCCACACCCATCTTTCACCACCTGTCTGGAAGCAGCCACACCACATCTAGCAGGGCTGCACAACCCCCCTGCAGGAGCCACATCACCAATGCCAGCCCTTTACCTTCTCCCGGGCAGAGATGGCAAGGGTGAAGGGGTTCACACATGTGCAGTGGTGCAGCAGGACTCCAGCAACCTGCTCGCCATCCTTCCGGAAGGTGAAGGGCTCATTCCAGTGCCCTCCACTCCTGTCCTCCTTTGCTCCCATGCCATTCTGCAGGCTGAACATGATGGAGACTTCCACATCCTCATCCCTCCTGTTTTCCACCTCCCAGATGAACACTCCCACTGGCAGGCTGGAGTCCTGGCAGAGACAGAGAGCAGTGTGTACAGGGCTGGTGCTCCATGCTCAGCTGCTAGAGCATCACTTCTCCCGCTGCTGGAAAGACCATGCAGGATGCAGCAGGAGCAAGAGGAACAACCTGGTCTCGGATTCTTTTGCCAAGCTCAGGAGCAGCATCAGGAACAGGGGAATTTGGGAGACGGGCAAGAACAAATTCATAAAAGCAGCCCTGGGCTACGAAACGCATTGGGCAATAGAGAGACGGAAAACGGCATTTAAGGCTCAGCAGGTGTCTCATCATTGCTCATCATTGTCATCACTCATTGCTTGACAGGTTGATACAGGCTCACGTGCTTTGCTGGGGTAAGAGGAAGGTCAGACGTGTCATTAGCACAGCCTGACACCCTTGCCTCAGGCTGGGAGCTAGCACAAGCGGTGTGTGGGACCAGTGAGGCATCCCTTGCTGCCATCCTGAGCTCCTGCATTGCTGTGGGGGCTCCACCTGCCTAGGAGCACTGCTGAGTGGAGACACAGGGAAATGTTGGGAAAGCCCAGCTACCAAGCAGCTCTTCCCTTGGGGATGCCATCACCTCCTTACCTTATAGTCATGGGGGATGACAGGAGAGACCTGTCGGCAAGTAAGCACCACATTCTGCCCCGGGAGCTCATAGACCATCCAGGCACGGGGGTACAGGGCATGGTAAAAGGCGTAGTGGCCACAGTTTTCCAGCCCTGCAGAGTGTTGGGTCTCTCCACCGACAAGACCTGCTGGTAAATTGTCCGTCCCTTGCAACGCAGGCACACTGTGAACTGGGGAGGAGAGGAG